AATTTTGACAGAGTGGCGAATGTCAAAGAAACATGATTAGAATGCAACATTTGTTCATTCACCACCACAAAAGCCATGGTATGCATTATCAAAACCAGAAAAAATACTACTCAAAACACAACACTCAACAGCAGCATCAGATAATATCAAACCAAAACAAGCTGATATCAAGACTTCAGAGTAAAATGTCCACTGGAGCCACTGACATGATTATTATTATATATAATATTGAACTCTATGCAGCGACCTTCATCATCTTATTCACCAAGGCTGTCAGTCAGAACTCGCAGGCTACTCAAAGGTAGGGTCTGTGGAAGCGTCGCACTTTGTGTTGGTTATTCAATCCACCTTAAAAAAACTGTATTTCTACCAGATAAGTAAAATAGACCTCGAAGAGTTGAACGGCAAAAACTATAGGCCCTTTGCAAATGATGGGAACACAATACAGTGGCCACTCGCATAGCCGCGCCTCTCATAGCTGCGCTAAGCTCTACTAGCCTGACCCCACTGCTCACCGCCATACACTGCTAGTATGGATTCTGATTGTTCTCTGATTACTGTGCAACGGCTTTGAAGCTAAATAACACATACAGCACTGTGGCTTCATCCCTCAGCCGGCCATCCAGCGGAGATGGGGGTCCCTCGCATAGCCGCGCCGGCCTACAGAGGAGAACCGTGCGGCGCGGCTGTGCGAGTGGCCACTGTATTAGTTAATAATAATCATGTCAGTGGCTCCAGTGGACATTTTACTCCGAAGTCTTGAAGATCAGCTTGTTTTGGTTTGATATTATCTCTGATGCTGCTGTTGAGTGTTGTGTTTTGAGTAGTATTTTTTCTGGTTTTGATAATGCATACCATGGCTTTTGTGGTGGTGAATGAACAAATGTTGCATTCTAATCATGTTTCTTTGACATTCGCCACTCTGTCAAAATTGATGTGGACACTCGCCTCTTTGTCAAAATTTCTGTGGACATTCGCCTCTTTGTTAAAGTGTTCCTTGGACATACGCCTCTCTTTCAAAATGTTCTTGGACATACGCCCCTTTGTCAAAATTTCTGTGGACATTCGCCTCTTTGTCACATTTCATTGCTGTTAAAAATTGGCGAATGTCCCGTCCCTCCTCTCCTATGCATGATAATCACACTAGGTGAATTACAAAATGTGACACATCACAAAAAGTATATAATATATAAAATTTGAAGCTCTAGGTAAACATGTCTATCTTGCAGATCAATTAGTAGCCTATTTTGCTCTCTACTGGACAACTAGGGTCATTGGACATACGCCCCTTTGTCAAAATTTTCCTGATTTGTGTGTTTAAGTTTTTTTTAAAGTTGTTCGGAGTTGTGGTTTGTCAGAGTATTGAATTAGTTCTAATGATATCAAAGCAGTGAACAGTATGTTGACACAAATTGAAATAATATTTGCAGTTATGTCTGGAGTTTCTAAGCAGCCTATCATAACCTGAGAAAATTATTCATGAAGCTAAATTTCACGAAACTTAAAGTGTATGAAAAAGATCCTATCGGAGGATAATGAGTGATTTAAAAATCGAGTGTTCTTATTGTGAGTCATGGAGATGTGTTTTATTTTTAAACAGTGAATAATGCCTCTATGTTGCAGTGAGTGATTGCTATTGAAAGACAGAATGCAATATGGGATAAAGAAAGAATAATCACTTCGTTATTTGTGAGGAGAAATAATCTGAGAGTGATTGGTATATGTGAGTAAAATTGGTTGCATAAAAGAAAAAGAGAAACCTCAATTGGTTTACAATCATAGATTGGTTTGGAAATTTCTGCTTGATTTTAAAAGAAAAAGGTTAAAAATGTCAATGAAACGCAGACTGAATGTCTTACATCTCGTATCTGCATTGTCCCTTCAGGGAAAAATTTGAGTTTTATATCAGTTATTGTTCATAAAAGTATCACGTAATATGTTTTTAAGTTACTGTTTTGAAGTCAAAAGAAAATAATCTTCCTAAAGTTTAAGCATGAGTGGTTAAACTAGGTAGAGCTAACGCACAAGGCTGAGCTGACGTTTCCCGCGCTATGCGCTGTTTTTGAGCGGATTTTGAATTTGTGTAGATGTAATCACAATATACTATCTTGAGAAACATAGTATGTATATGTTCATCTTTGGTTGTTAACTTGTGAAGATGTCTGTAAATGACTGAATTAAATTTTTACTGGTTACATTTACTTTAAAAAGTAAGCAATATTTTTTTTTCTATACCTTTGTCAAAAATCTGCTTATTAAGAGGTTGTAAAACTTGTGCAAGTTTGTAAATATAAAAGATAACAGATTTTTTTATTATTTTCCTTTTCCTTTCACATAAACCGGACATTTATGGTAACCTGCATATGACATGATTGTGTGGTTAAAAACTGATATATGATTTTCAAATTTTGAGTGTAGAAATGTAAGTAAAAGCACAGTGCTTTTATCATGAAAGTGGATAGCACAGCAAGATTTAAAGATCTATAAATCGCCTGAAGATGAAGATTTCATTTCAGCAAAGTCTTGTGGATGCAATAAATTGAAGGATGTTTACAATAGAAAGGGGTTTACAAATGGAAATTGGAGGAACATAAAAATTAGGTTAAACATGAGAGTGTTAAAGAGATAGGAGGATTGTCAGTTGAACATTGTATTTATTACAAAAATATAAATACTGAAAGTCATGAAGAAACTTTAAAGATACTTATTCAAAATTAAGGTACACAAGTCTTGGTCCGATAAGCAGCCTGTTCGCATTAGATTCAGTTGAGATTAAGATTTTTACAAAAATACAAATAATACGTATAGTTCTAAAGGAACTTTAAAAACCAAATAATCATTCAAAATTAAGATACAGTCTTTGTCCAGTAAGCAGCCAGTTCGCATTTTAATTAAGATTTTGATTTCACCTGGAAAAAAATAGATACCATTACAGCAAAGATTTCATAATGGAATTAACTAAAGGATGCAGAAATAACTAAAGACTCACTATTGGGGTCTAATTCATCAGCCGTCCTATCTCTCTTATTGGCGGGATTGCCAGAAGCAGCGAGGGTGGTGTCAGAGACACCAGGGTCGCAACCATTGGCAACCATCAAGTTCATCTTGAGCTGTTATGCAAACAAAATAATAAATACATCAATGTACTGTTTGTTGCAAGAAAACCCTGGACAAAGTGGTAGAAGAGGGGAACTTACAGTTGGCATTAGATGGGTTTTCAGGAGAGTCACCCTTGTTAGATTTATCCACATTTTCTAAAGATGTGTCTGGGCTTAAGACTATTGGGCCTACTTCGGACCACTTATTGTGGGCAGTAACAAGCTCTTCAGCTGTGAAAAAAATTTATAATTGGGACAATTTTGTTGAGATCATGAATATCTGTTAGTTGATGCAGTGCAATTAGAAATATAACTTACAGTGCGGGGCAAGATCAATTCTAAACGAGTTGTCTGCAAGGACCTCTCGGAAACTTATAAAAGGATAATTCTTTTTGGTGATCTGAAGTCGTAGCTCTTTGATATCCTCATCGGTGAAGTTCTGAAGATATTTTGGTGGGAACTGTAACCGCCACTGTTGGTTGTTCTTTCCCTTCAAGATACTCAGCAGCCCATCTCCGTACACTGCATGATGGGTGGCGCCTTCATATCCATTATCATATAGGGCTTGTTAGGCTCCAATTTTGACATGCTGATAAAGCCGCAATGACTGGCATTCTTTGCTGCTACAGCCTTGAATGGACTTCTTTCTGAAAGAAAAGACACTGATTAGTGTTGATTCATTACTAGTTAAGGTCATCAACATCATATTACAATCGATGGCGAAGTACGCCTCGTACATGTGCAATACAAAATCGAGGCAACAAAAATAAAAGAACTGATGTGATTAACAGGACAGATCGAAATAAAATCTATATTGACGAAGTAATCCAACAAAGTGCCAATGAATTACGTTAAAGAATAAAACATCGATATAACAAATAATAGCAGATAAAGTTGTAGCTGCTACAATTATTCATTGACAGGCCGTAGTTTGGACGACAATAAAAAAAAACACATTCGGAATCAGGAATTACCCTCATATTTGCCGTATCTTTCACTGTTTTGGCCCTAGAGGTGGATATATTGAAAACAATGGGAAAATGTCAAGTTTTAAGACTGTTTGACAAACAATACAAATTTAAAAACTGCGCTGGTTCGTTTTTTTTTATTTTTCTTAAGCAAAGCAGAAGGGTGGGGTGTAGTCACGGTGTTGCCCCGTTACAGTCTTTTGTCATGTGAAAGGAGCAAACCTCTAGGGCCGCAGGCCCCCCGCCGGAAGTTAGTTAAGGTAAGAGTCCGGTGAAAAAATTGCAATTTTTGTACAAATATTCTTAAATGAGTTTTTGCCGAAAAAAACAATGTTTCGACCTCTCTCTTTTTGGGAAACCATTTAAAGTTCACGAAACGTCTTTTCTTTTGTATTTTGGATCGGTCTACCTAATGGCTCTTGTAGCTTTTTCGACAAAACCTGTTGTTGATAGAGAACATTTTGTGGAACTTTGAGAAACTTCTTGCGCAACAGGTTGTGAGGTAGAAAGCTGCCCTTTGATTTGTGACTTCCTTTCAGTGTTTTCAAGGACTGATCAGTGAGTTTCTTCTCAATTTCTTCCTAGATTTCTTATAACAGCTCTAAAAGTGGTCAAAATCGGCCAAAAACCTCACTTTTTAGAGGAAGCATTTTAAAAAAATTGTGGATGCTGCCTGAATAGAAAAATTACGAATGTCTCACTGATCAGACCTCAGAAAAAGCTTTAAGAAAACAACTGCCAATGCGTTGGGTCGTACCCTATACTGTGTTGCGCAAGGAGTTCGCCAAAGTTGAGCTATTTTAAACACTCAAATTAGTGTAACTTGGGAACGGCTTGACCTACAGAGGTGAGATTGTGGTCCAAATTACTTTTTTTACGACCCCTACAACATACCAAAAGATAAAGTGTTTTACTGTAAAGCTGTAGAAAAAGTGCATTTCACCGGACCCTTACCTTAACTGAAATATTCAAGGTAGGCCTAAATTACCGGTCACTTCATTTATTTGATTATTATGTTCTTCAGTAAATCGCGAGACTGAAATGATTGGGCCGGAGGTAGGCGTAGGCCCGACCATCGCCGCCGGCAGGCCAAGCAGGCCCGGCCCCTACCGAACAGAGGTGCCGGCGCAGCGAAGTGGAGCTGGCAACTGCGTTTGGCGGGGTCTGCTTGTTTGTTTGTGGTCTTATCAGTCAATATAGCTATTTTTCTTCCTTTCAGCATATTTTATCAAATCCGCGTCATAGTCTCGCTTTATTTCAGGAAGGTAATGCTCTCTAAGCCATCTACGGGTTCGGAAAGTCCTCACTACCTGTAGAAAAACATCAAAAAAACATTGAATATAGCAGTAATGCAGAGTAGAGTTTGGAGGTTATGTTCCGCCCCGCTCGCCCAGCGCCCGCGGTACGTATTGCATTTACTTAGAAGAGACAAACGCAAATGCATGCCCGCTCGTTAAAATCGACTTCCCAAAACACTAAAATAAATAAAATTGTCCGTCAAGGAATTACTTACCAGGCATGTAGTTTTGAAGCCATTCTCGAATATTTTCGTTGTCAAGCTTGTTAACGGAATGTTAGCTTTCACAAAAGCGTGCATAATTGGCTTAATAAATGTTTCTTTATCAATTTTAGCTTTCCTGGCTCTATCAAAGCTGCCCGGAATTGATTCTTGTCTTTTTTTTGTAACTTCCTTCTCTTTATTTTTCTTGTGAATCTCTGAGCTGCAATGCTGGGGCACGACACTTCTCTCCCATTTCACACGAGCGGAACAAGGCCGACACATCATAATTTCGTTCGATCTATCAAAGACATACATGCCCTCTTCCTCGAACTCTCTTGCCCAAGAATCTCGATGGGCGGTCGGGCTCCGCCCGCCAGCCACTGAGCGCTCGTCGCCAGAGCGCCCGGCCCGGCCCGTCTCTTCGTCGATGGGCCGGGTGGCCGCCCGAGCCCGGAGGCGGAGGTTGCTCCGCCCGCATGGTTCGGAACTTTTTTGGCGTGGTGAGAGTAGCTGTCGGTCAGCGCCGACTCGCGCGGACCCGGCGCAGGTGACTTCGGCACTGTTCGGATGTCCGGCCGGTGACTGCCTCCGCCACGCCAAGCCACAGCACCACAGCACACCGCCCATGACTGTCGCTCTCTCTCGCACACCTCAGGCAGCGGGCGGAGCCCGCCCGCCCATATCAGAACTCTGCCCGAGATGCTTCCGTGGTTTCTTCTCTCAATATGTTTTGCATTTTGAAAGCTGTTTGTTGATGCCGCCCACCTCACCTACACCCCACGCTTGTTGGTCGCTGCCTCCTCGCTGCGGTCATTACTCCCCTTCCCCCTCCTACCCCCTCTCCCCCGACCCACAGCGCACTGCAGGCGCAAAGCGGCAAGGCTCTGAAGTACAAGTGCGGGGAAATCTAATACGCAGCTTGGACAAAAGGCGCATTTATCACTGTAATGAGTGATATTTGCGCTCGAACAGTGTTCTTTAAAGCGATTTACCATAATTTTCCGAAAAGATGCAGGATTAGGCGCAGATATTGCATTTCAGGCATAATGCTGCGATCCATAGCAAATAATGCGAAATTATGCGCACCGGAAATGAACTCAGACGGTCACATAGATACTCATTCATTCAATCATTTTTTCATTTCGAAGTGTCTTGGAAAATTATGCGAAAATGCGATCCCATTAAGTGCACATCCCTATTTGTGAAGATATGATCTTGATCTTTATCATGCACCTTTATTATGCAAGATTGAAACAATGAAACCACCGGTGCAATTTGCATGCAGGTCTCTAAGTATAAGAAGATTCCACTCTTCAACGATTGGTGTTGGAGATGCTGAGGACCCACCTGAGGTCAATAAGTCCAGTTAATATGGCAACCAGCACACCGTGAAGGTGAGGGTGCCGTCATATTTTGGTCTTGGAGCCATGACTGCGTGTGTTCATTTGATGTCTCATCTGGCTGTTACTGTAAGAGCTTGGGAACCTTTGCACCACCTTTAACTTTGAATCACATAACCGCAACCTCTTGTGCAAGATCCAGTCTCCCAAAGATGCTGTGAAGCAGGTTGTCACTCGACAACTCGACATCTCCTAGAACTTTGTGTAGTTGCTGCATGCAATCACCAACAACCAACCATATTTGAGGAAATTAGACAAGAACTTCTCAGAATATTATCCAAGACTTGGAGACAAAATGTTCAAGTATTTGATAGTGCTACCCTTTTAGAGGCGAGAGAACATAGAATAGCCACCCAAGAAGAAGACCCATGTCTCCAAAGAGAAGGGTATGTCGTCAGGCTTACAATGAGTACTGTCGTGTTTTACTGAAGAGAAATGTTGAAATGCAATCAACAAGGTACAATCCTGATAGACTACACAACAACACAAATGTGTACACATTTCAAGATACTTTCTGTAAGGTCAAAAAAGATTGTCACTTTCATGAATAATCCTAAAAAAATTTGCGGGATGTTTGTCAATGAGTTAAATATTGCCAACCTTTTCAATAATGCTACATATATTGGTAGAGTGCTCCCAGATGGTCACTTGCTGCACTTCATACCACTCAGTCAGGCAAAGAATTCAGCAGTCTCAATAACTGTGTTGGGTGTGGAAATGCTGTTAGCTGTGCCGTCAAATTATGAGATTGACTGAACTTGGTTCATTTCTCACAAAAATTCCTAGGAATAGTGAGCTCTCTGTAAGTGTTATTTCTCGATCTTGGTTGAAGACCGACTCATGGAGGAGCAAAAAGATAGTACTTGGCTATCATTTTTTCACTCTTGATTTTCTTATGTTAATAGTGGTCCATATTTACAGGAATAAGTGCAATGATGTATTGCTTTCATTTTTGTTTGAACCAGAAAAAAGGTGCATTGTAATTATTCATCTGAACATTGTTTTAAAATTTTTTAGAAAATTTTACATTTGACTCTATTTTATCATTATTGTTGTCTTCAAATAACTTTTGTCTTTGACCA